GCAGCTCCAGCGCCATTTCCCTGGTGCGCGGGGCGGCAGCACTCACCCTTTGTCGCGGTGCGTGCGAGGCCGCCGAAGAGAGGGAAAAAGGGAGGGAGGGAGGAAGGAGGGAAGGAAGGAAGAACGGAGCGCCGGTGCCGGCGGTTGCGGGGCAGAGCGGAGCAGGCTGAGGCGAAGTCCGCTTGTCTCCCCCGTTCGCCCCCCCCACTCTGCGCCGTGTGCCGGCGCTGGCGCCAAAATCAGGGCGGTTATCACTTCCTCTGGCCCGGGCGGAGCGGGAAGGGGACAGGCCGCCGACGACTGAGGCGGGGGGAAAGGGGACGACAGATTTTGGGGGTGCGCGGCGCCCCGCTCCCCTGCGGGCACCACAGGTTGAGGGCAACGGGGATGGGGGACACGACACGAGGCCGCTTTTGGCTAATTATAACCCCTCGCTTTGAGCCTTCGGAGCCGTTCGGCAATTTCCGGCAAAGGAAAAAAAAAAAAAAATGCGGTGCCAGTCGTGATCGGGGCGGTGTCGGGTCCGCTCGGGCACGTATCACGAGTCTCTTCCGTTGTCGGAGATTGCCGAACGGGCTCGGCTAGTCGGAGGGCTGCGGCGTCCGTCTCGCCGGAAATCGCCGAGCGCGCTCCGAGTGCTGGCCCCGCCTGCATCGGCAGGTTCCGGAAATTGCCGAAGCAAGACGAATGGGCTCCCATTCGCCCTTCGGCTCTTTCCGGCAACTGCCGAAGCGGATAAGCTGGACGACGACGGCTCCTTCGGCTCATTTCGGAGGCGGCCATTACTAACGGAGTTGATGACTTTTTATTACGTGATAAATAACACGTAGGGGCGTTATACAGATCTGCTGCCCCTTCGGAGGCATTTAAGCTTCCGATTCGAGCCTTATTTTATTTTTTTTTAACGAAAACCTGGGAAGCGAGCCTAGGGTGGAAGAGGAGGGCGCTAGCGCTACGTGGAGCTGAATTTCAAATTACGTAACAGTTGAAGCAGCCATTACCGAGCGGTTGTACGGTACTCTCGAGCAGGAATACCTTAACCATGAAGAATATGGTACGTGAAAAGGGAAAATTCAGAGTTTGCTTTTAAGGCGGGGCGGCACCTTTGGTTACGCGTAGGGAGTGATTTTTGTGGTGCTTTGTTTTTTGGGGGTTTTTTTTTGCGGGTGTGGGGCGTTAGGAGTGGGATTGAATCCCGGCCGGCGCGGGTCTGGCAGCCGGGGCCGGCTCTGCGGGCAGAGGGGCTGGGTGTCTTTCGGCAGGGAAAGCGTTAGCGGCGGGGAGGAAGGTTCTGGAAGCGGCGGTTGGGGCTGGTGCGCAGCCCCAGGGAGGAAGGCGGAAGCCGTGCATGGCGGGTGGCGAGTTCTCGACGTTGCCGTTAGCCCGGCTCCTGTAAGGGGCTGGAGGAGAAGGGGGGACAGGGCGATGGAGGTCAGTCCGAGCGCCATCCGGGGAGTCGCCTTTCCCCTGCGAGGTGCCGGCCGGTCGGGGCGGCGCTGCTGGTAATGGCGGTGGTGAGGGGGAGGGGTAAAATGGCGGCGCCGAGCCTGGCTGGTGCGGGAGGCCGTGGGGATCGCTCCGAGGGCCAGAAGGCGAGTAACGGCGGGAGGGCATCGGGGGCTGCGAGGCGGGCAGTCAGGTAGCTCTAGGCCTCTAGGGTCTGCAGGGACGGGAAAGAGAGTTTGCAAGCTGTTCCTGGTGCCCTGTGTGTAGGTGCACGCTAGAAGCGGTTGGCAATGCTTGGCTTCTCTTTTGCTCGAGAACCTGAGTAAAAAGTATTTTTTATTTTTGATTTTTTTTAAAATCTTTTTTTAATCTGGAGCCGGTGCCTGCAGAAGTTGTTTCCCGCCGCATCGCCGTCCGCTGGAGGCGGCGGCTGCTCCTGGGCGCCATTTTCCCCTTCTCGCTGCGGGGGCCGCTGTGTTCCTGATACCCGCCACATGGCGGAGCCGGCACGGGAACCGCGGCCCTCCCGATAACGGCGGGGGCGGGGGACAGCCCGGCTGTTGGGTTGCAAGGCCTTGGAGAACGTATATAGGGGCTAACGGGGCGCTTGGAGAGCGAGGGGAGAGAGAGAGCAGGAGCTTTCTAGTCAGCGGTAAACCCAGGGTTGCTTTTGGCGGGCCTAGGTGTAGGAGTTCAGAGATGGCACTCGCTTGTCTCCGTTAACTGGTTTTGTTACTCGGGTTCTTAACTCCGCAGAAGTCTGCAGTCAGCTTGGGGGATTTGTGCACATGTTACTGCTATACGCAACGCACTTCCATGCTCTGACGATGCATTTTCCAGTCCTTTAAGGTGTTGCTTTAAGCCTGCAAAGGAAGGCTTAAAATAAGCGATAATTAGGATTTCCTCTTGCACCACAGAGTGTACTATGGAAATCTTGAAGGAGGTTTTTCTTCCGGCTTTGGGATTGCGGGCCTTGGCGGGGGTGGGTTGTATGCATGGGGTGTTGTGAGTGTTTTTTTACCAAGCGGATTTTCATCAAGATTCTGGAAGGGACCAGAATGATATTTTTTCTCATACATTTACAGGACAAATTTAGATTGTCAGAGCTCTCTGGACCCTGCTGGGAGATTAATGCTAGACTAATCAGAGCTTCTTAAAACTGACACATTTAAGACAAATTGCCTCTACATCCAAAGGCTGCACATGTATGAGTGGAATAACATGTTTATGATATTTTCACACAGTGGTTTTAATTGAAGAACTGGTAGCGAATTTTATTATTGCTGCATCATGACATGTGGGGTAGCTAGATAGTGTTCTGGGTAGGGCATAATTTGCTTGATTCTCGTATTTTTCAAAGAATATAAATGTGCTTTATTAGGTGTGTTATTAGATGCAAGATGATTATATGGGAAGAAATGTTTTTATAAATGATAGTATGACTTAGCAGCATGTGACTTTTTAGTCCAAGTCTAGTATACAGCATCCTTTTCTTTATTCCTTTTATGAGATGATGTGAAAGGAAACTTGACATAAAATGGGTTTGCCACTTTTAAACTCTTGGGTCTAATTTTGGCTATCTGTACAAGGAGGAGACAGTACTAGCTTCCTCTGTGGTCCCTTGGAAAAAAAAATACTAGATGCAACAGCAAATTCCAGGTATTTTTAAGAGACATGTAAACTGATCGTTCTTAAGTATGGTATTTATTGGGGTAGGTATAATGGTTGATGTCCTTGTCAAACTGCAGTATCTCAAGCTGGTAATAGAGTGGTGCATTTTGAACAAGAACTGATTCAGTGCTACCTGCAGTAATTGTCTTTCTGTTACATGCATCTCTATCTAGGCCTCCCTTAGAAAACGTGTTGGTCTACATGCAGGTTGGAGTAGTACTTCTAAAAGCATTTGTACACTGAAGTATTCTGCTTATTTTCCCAATCTCGTTTGTCATTGGTTGTGTGATTTCCTTTTTACATTGATCTTAATGTCCACTGCATGGTTGCTCATGTTATGTTTGTCAGTTACGGCTAACTATGCAGTGTTTGGTGGTTTAAAAAGCAACCACCACCATAAAGAAAACACAAAAGCAAACACCCAACCAGACTTTCTTGACTTTTACTTAACAGTATGAAGCTGAAGTAATCGTTGCATTTGAGTTCTCTTGTCCCTTGCGGGTCAGTTCTCTTTCAAACAATATTCTGAAATCTTAAGTTTTGTAGAAGGGAACTACTTTTTAGTGCAATTTAATTGTTGCCCTTTGACATACGAAACTGCAAAATGTGTGATCTAGTGATGCTTTTGTGTGTAGAAGATTGCAATTACAATGCCTGAACAAGAGCAGCGGTAATTTCTCTGAAAGGTAGTAGAACAAAATCTTCCTGAAAGCTTAATTATTAGTGGATAGTTATGCAAATATGTATTATTCACATTTCCGTTTTAAAAGGAATCCACTTAATTTTGATACTGCTGCTGTTGAGGGCGGATAAGTTTGCTGCTAATTCCAGAGGTGCAGGATCCCAGATTAATTTTACAGGTGCTCCAGCTTTCATGTATTTTAATAATTAATGAGAAAATATGAATCAGCAACCAGTTTTAGGACATCTTTACCTGTATCTTTATTTGTGTTTAATGTCTTGGGTAAATAGCATGATAGTATTCATGTACAACAATGCGTTACAAAAAATATATATATTTTTTTTAATGCCATCTGGAATAGAATTGGACAGTAGAAATTAATTCATGTTATCTGGTATCAGAATTTCTGGTTTTGTTTTTACTTTTCTTTAAAAAGCATTTCCTAAAGATCTTTGTGAGCATTAGTCTGGAAGTCTTTGAGTGTAGTCCCTTGTACTTAATATTTGGAGGCAGAGATGGGAAGAAGCACATTGTTAAATCTGTATTGTAAAAGTGTACGCATAGAATTGTGTAAACTGAATTTCTTCAATAGCGGTAGAATATTTAAAAGACCCAAGCTTAATTTTGAAAAATACGTCTTTTTGAAAGTTTTTGACACTTAAGAGAATCTTACTCAGCGTCTGACTATGCTGATGTATAGAGGATATTTTTAATTATATTAATGTAATCTTCCTTTTTGTGATAGAGGGAAAAGGAGCAGTTCCGCAAACTGTTTATTGGCGGCTTAAGCTTTGAAACCACAGAGGAAAGCTTGAGGAGTTACTATGAGCAATGGGGAAAGCTGACAGACTGTGTGGTAAGTTTGGCATCATAATACACAACGATGGCATGGAATGTTTAGAATTTGTAAAAGTAGGGAGTTTATTTTCTGGATAGTTTAATGGAAAGATAGAATATTAATTTTTCTTAAGTATACGGTTGGTTTATATGTTATTCAGTCCATTGAAGCTATGTGCAGCCTTGCCCTGGCAAACTGTTGATTGATTAAGGGAGTATTCACTATCTAGTTCCCGTAAAATCTGCCAGATTATCTCTAACTAGTGATCTCAACAGTTCAAAATTTTAACGTGGGTGTCGTTAGCTGAAGTGCATTAGGGAGTGCATCTGTCATTGGTAACCTTTGGTAGAAAGCTGTTATCATGGTAAGTGGCCTCAATAAAGCTGGAAAAGGATGTCTTTCCATGTCACATCTCTGTATCATGTTTTCATAAAGTCATTTAGGTTGGAAAAGAGCCTCAAGATCATAGAGTCAAGCCATAAACCTAACACTTCCAAGTGCACTGCTAAACCCTGTCCCCAAGTGCTGTGTTTTTACATCTTTTAAATATCTCCAAGGACAGTGACTCTTGCAGAAATTCCTCCCCTGAATTTGTTTTGGGAGCAGTGAATATATATTTCATAACACAAATTTAAAGTCTTTGGTCTTCAGACAGTTAAATTGAAAATAATGTGTTCAGGTTTTTGGCGGGGTTTTTTTTAGAGAACAATCGTAACATCAACACTTACATCACTGATACAGCAGCATTTCCGAGTTACAGTTAAGAGTCTTAGATGAGAACAGTGATTTGAATTTCTGTGATGCCAAGCAGTGCTGTTCATGTACTTAATGAGCATAGCTTGCTACTTTCTTATAATTGTATTTTGAAATGAAATCAAGGAAGAGTTAAATTAAGATTACGTGTTTTCTCCAGATGTTGTTAATGTGGAGCTTAACATGAGACAGATAGAAATTGTTTAAATGTGTTTGTTATTTTTAGGTAATGAGGGATCCTGCAAGCAAAAGATCAAGGGGGTTTGGTTTTGTAACATTCTCCTCCATGGCTGAAGTAGATGCGGCCATGGCTGCAAGACCTCACACAATTGATGGAAGGGTGGTTGAGCCTAAGAGAGCTGTGGCTAGGGAGGTAAGTATGACTTTGAAAGCAGATAGTTTTCATGCTTTGAAAAAGAAATCTCTATTTTGGTCAGACAGTTATGCTTTGTTCTTGTTGGAAAGTGCCTGGGTTTAAATTCTGTAGTTAAAAGGCCGTAGTTGGGGTGATATTTCCCATGCTTTCGGTCTGTTAAATGACCCTATTACATAAGTGTCTATTACTGCAGTGAATTATTAAGTTACTCTGGTTGTAGAGTCCTGTCTGCAAGGGACACAACTGGGGTGTGAAAGTATTGTTAGAGAAAACATGTTGGATGCCTGTAATTATGCTAATTCCAAACTAATTATTCTCTGGAATGGTTATTGTTACTGAACCTCAAATTAATAAGCTCCTGTCAGTCTCTCCCGACTCTGTTCCAATAGTCTTTTTTTTTTTATTTCTAAAGGGTATATAACTGAAGTGACTGAAAATAGAGAATGTAATAGGGAAACTTTTTTTTCCAGTGGTGGTGTACAAAATCACCTTGGGACTGCTGTGGTTTTAGCTCCAGGTGTATTTGGTTTTCAGGGTACAAATGAGATGTGTGCACAGGAATGCAGTGCACCTGTAAACTTTTCAGCCAAGTTACTGTGGCAGAGAGGTACTTGAGGAACAAGTGCACGTTGTGGGTGACTTCTGTTTACCTTGTGCAGGAGCTCTGGGAGGATTTACCAGTTTAAGGTTGGACCCAGGTGTTTCATTCATTTGGACTGATGAGCTCGAATCTAATGAGCTGTCCCAGAGGTCATGGGGAATGGAAATCATAGCCACTGGTTACCCCTGTTGGTTATTCCAGGTTACCTTCCCTACCCTGCAGAATGCAGGGTTGTTTAGCATTTGGAAAAACGGTACTTGAGGAACAAGTGCACGTTCTAGGTGACTTCTGTTCACCTTGTGCGGGAGCTCTGGGAGGATATACCAGTTTAAAGTTGGACCCAGGTGTTTCATTCATTTGGACTGATGAGCTCGAATCTAATGAGCTGTCCCAGAGGTCATGGGGAATGGAAATCATAGCCACTGGTTACCCCTGTTGGTTATTCCAGGTTACCTTCCCTACCCTGCAGAATGCAGGGTTGTTTAGCATTTGGAAAAATGTAATAAAAGCAGTGTATGAGCATTCTGTGTATACACATAAAGCTGTAGCTATGCTGTAGGAATAAGTCAATCCTGCCTAGTGCAGCAGCTTGGATATCATGCTCAAAGTGTAAAAAAAGCCCATGAATGTAAGGAGTTTTCTTAATATTTTGAATAGGGGTTAAAATGTGTAGCTGTGGGTTTGCTGAGGCTGAGGGACCTTTGCTGTTGATAGGGGTGGAATATGGGCTTCATGGTGCTGTTGGGGAAACGAGCAGAAGAAGCTGACGCATCTTAATTTCAATTACAAAAATCATATCATAGTTTAAGTTATGAAATAGTTGCCATTCTTTCAAACAGTTGATCTTATAATTTCTCTGAATATATTTTAAGGCTTTGTATCTACTTTTATGGGTTTTGTACCACTTAATCTTTTTTGGTGCTTTTAAGGCTTTGGCATTAAGTGGGTGGGAGGGGGAGAAACTTCCAAATTAGCCTATGTTACTTCCCTCCCTGAAGGCCCCACAAGCAAGGTTGCAGGGACATGCATTGTAAGAGGGCTACCTCAGTGCATGAAAAAATCTTAGTTTTTCAATATTCCATTCCTGAAATCCTGGTAAAATAGTGGTTTGTGAAATTTTTTTTCGTGGTGGCAATTTAAAGGATTTTTTTTAACAGGAATCTGGAAAACCTGGTGCTCATGTTACTGTGAAAAAACTGTTTGTTGGTGGTATTAAAGAGGACACTGAAGAGCACCACCTTCGTGACTACTTTGAGGAATATGGAAAAATTGACACTATTGAAATCATTACTGACAGACAGTCTGGTAAAAAGAGAGGGTTTGGATTTGTTACATTTGATGACCATGATCCTGTGGATAAAATTGTGTGTAAGTAAGCTTAATTTCACTCCTTCGTTTGATAGTATTAATCCTTGCAGTTACGGTAATTGTGTAAAGCTAAACCTCAACTAAAGAGATAACTGGGATTAGTTATGTGCCTGAATACTTGCTACGTTGTAGTTTGGTGCGTTCTGTGGGAACATCTATTTTAATTAAGTACCGGCTGCTTTGCTTAAAAATTGTATGGTATTTGAGGTTTTTTAAATGATATATAATTTTTATGGATTAATTTGGAAATAACACAATTTTTGGAAAGCTGGTATTCTTGTTGCCAGATCAGTTCTTAAATGCTGAAGGTATCTTGTTTTATGTGGTTACAGTGCAGAAGTATCACACCATCAATGGCCATAATGCAGAAGTAAGGAAAGCGCTCTCTAGACAGGAAATGCAGGAAGTTCAGAATTCTAGGAGTGGGAGAGGAGGTATGTACAAGTAACAGTTAAGTGTTTGTGGTTGATATTTGTGTTCACCTGGCATGATCTCAAGCTTATAAATGCTAAACTGTTACAGGGAACTTCGGTTTTGGTGATGCACGTGGAGGTGGTGGCAACTTTGGTCCAGGACCTGGCAGCAATTTCAGAGGGGGAGCTGGTAAGACAGGCATGTTTGTAGCACTTTTTTTTCCTTATTTACACTGTTGTTCTGGGTAACTGCAGGCTACTGCTGTTCAATTGAAATGCAGCTCTGTCAGTTAGAGAATTCTGGGGAAAATAACTTGGAAACCTCTTCTGTAGCACACAAATAGATTATGTGTATATTCAGTAAAACAAAGTTATTTTTATTTTTTTAAGGATTTTACTACAAGCCAAAACAGACCTAAACGTAACAAATTTTGTTAAGGAATCCGGAGATTTCCCTCTTCTGTAGCACACAAATAGATTATGTGTATATTCAATAAAACAAAGTTATTTCTATTTTTTTAAGGATTTTATTACAAGCCAAAATAAACCTAAACAGAACAAATTTTGTTAAGGAATCCGGAGATTTCTCATCTGTAATTCTACACAGCACTTGCCTCAAATTTGCAGTGGAAGGGCTGTGTCCAAAATTTAAACCGGGTACCTTATATATGCCAGAAAACAGATGTAGAGTGATGATTGGATGTGTTACTTCTATATATTCTTCTATATATTTCTAAATTGAAGTGTACGTGTGCTTAATCAATAATCTCTGAGATTTGGTCCTTAAGGTCATAGGGGTTTGAGACTGCAGTTAGTTAAACCGGGTACCTTATATATGCCAGAAAACAGATGTAGAGTGATGATTGGATGTGTTACTTCTATATATTCTTCTATATATTTCTAAATTGAAGTGTACGTGTGCTTAATCAATAATCTCTGAGATTTGGTCCTTAAGGTCATAGGGGTTTGAGACTGCAGTTAGTTTGCTACAGATGAATTAAAATGCTATTGGTTTTTTCTTCCAACAGACGGATATGGAAGTGGCCGTGGATTTGGTGATGGGTATAACGGATATGGTGGAGGACCTGGAGGTCAGTTTTCTTTTTGTAATGGTGGTAGTTGTTGGTTTTCTTTTCATTCAGAAAAATTTTTACATTCACTTACCATTTGTATAAAATGTATGTTAATTTATGTTAATTTTGTTGGCTTTAAGAAGCACACATGGCTGTTGGCTCATGTTAAACCTTTATATAGCAAACTGTATGGTTATTTCTTGACAACCATGCTTTTTTTTTTTTTTTTTTTTTAAATAGCAGTGTTTCTTAAATTTCTTGAAAAGCCAAGATATTAATTAAACCACCTAATTGAGGCTTTTAGGCAGTCTGGCTGGTTTCTTAAATTTCCTGAAAAGCCAATATATTAATGAAACCTAATTGAGGCTTTTAGGCAGTCTGGCTGGTGGGTTTTGGTCACAATTGAGTTAGAGTTGGGGGCGGTATGTGCCTTTAAAATAGTGTTCATACAAATTTATTTTCAAAACTCCTGCCCTTTTCTTCCCCTGTAGACAGAAAAATACCCCCTGATTCTATAGAATTTGGTTGTCTTCTACACTGAAGAGCTTTATTTTAAAGGCTTATATTGTCATAGGTGGCAACTTCGGTGGCAGTCCTGGTTATGGAGGAGGAAGAGGTGGATATGGTGGAGGAGGACCTGGATATGGCAACCAGGGTGGGGGCTATGGAGGTGGTTATGACAACTATGGAGGAGGTAACCTACTGGCTTGAAATGGCTAAGCATTTCAGTTGTAAATTTGTGCAGGTCATTTGAGATTTGGGGAGAGGTGGTGGAAGAGAGGGGTGTGGTAGGGAAGGGTGTTGTAAATGTTGTCTAAGGAAGCCCTTGTTTTCCAAATAGTATTGAAGAAACAGTTCATTGTGTACACTGCTGGAATACCTGTATAAAAAAAAACCTGATTTTGTACATCATTTAAAATCCTAATAATGAGAGAGATTTGTGAGTGCCATACACGTTTTACTCATCTTGATATTTCTCTACTTCTGTATTGGTGCAGGCAATTACGGTAGTGGAAACTATAATGATTTTGGAAACTACAACCAACAACCTTCAAATTACGGTCCAATGAAAAGTGGAAATTTTGGTGGCAGCAGGAACATGGGGGGACCATATGGTGGAGGTATTGTATACATCCTGATCTGTCTTGGAGCCAGAGTGGGTGGGCTTTAGTCTTTTGAAGAGGTGGAAGATAGGACAAGGGGTAACTGTTTTGAACATAGGACAAGGGGAGACTGGTTTGAACTAAACGAGGGTGAATTAAAATCAAATGTAAGGAAGAAATGCTTTACAATGAGAGTGGTGAGACACTGGAACAGGTTGCCCAGAGAACTTTTGGATGTTTCATTCCTGGAGGTGTGCAAGGTCAGGTTGGATGGGGCTTTGAGCAACCTGATCTAGTGAAAGATGTCCCTATCTGTGGCTGGGAGGTTGGAACTAGATGACCTTTAAAGCTCCCTTCCAACCTAAACCATTCTAAGATTGATAAGCAGAAATTGTATAACTCCTGTAAATACATGGACTGCAATGCCCATGTTCTTTCTGCAAGTTGGCTATTATTTCTCATATTGAGACACTGAAGGTATTTTTTGGGAAAATTATTGTTACTGTTTTTTTAAGGACAAATGACAAGATACTAACTTTTTTTTCCAGATTATTATGTTTTGCAATTTCCAGTCTGTAAAGCCTGGAAACATGAAACTTTAGCCAAGTTTCATGTTCTTTGCTCTCAGCTCACATGATTTGTAGAGCCTAGTTTATGTCCACTAAACTTGCGGGGATTGATTCTGCTCCCCTCCCTCCCCCCTGCCTTGTAGTATGTGGCGTGTAAACCTTGTGAAATGGAAACTGGAAATTGAAGCCCATTCTTGTAAGGTTTAGCATGCAAATAAAGTCAGCCCTCACAGGCTCAAGACATTACAATGCATCAAATTACATGTGACACTGTTGAATCTTCTAAGATTTCAGTATGCAGTTCTTATGGCAGTTCTTGGAAGTTATTTAGAAGAAGGCAAAATGTTACAATCTTTGTATATGCCATTTCTGGAAGTAAAGTGGATGTTACTCTTCATACAGAACCAAAAGCGGTCCTAGATTTTAAGAGGATACTGATGTAGTTGTTCTGTTTGGTCTTTTTCTGCATTTGCAGGAAACTATGGTCCTGGGGGCAGTGGAGGAAGTGGTGGCTATGGAGGGAGGAGCCGTTATTGAGTTTCTGCAAGCATGCCATGGGTAAGTATGTTTTTAAGTGTTAAAATTGCAGTGATTCTTGAGAGTAGCTGCAGGAGTTAAAAGCTTTTTAGGATATTATCTTTCCTTTAAAAAATGGTTAGATGAATAATTTCATAACCTATTTTTTTACTCTTTACTTCTGTTGAAACAGGCTTCACTGTATAAATAGGAGAGGATGAGAGCCCAGAGGTAACAGAACAGCTTCAGGTTATCGAAATAACAATGTTAAGGAAACACTTATCTCAGTCATGCATAAATATGCAGTGATATGGCAGAAGACACCAGAGCAGATGCAGAGAGCCATTTTGTGAATGGATTTGGATTATTTAATAACATTACCTTACTGTGGAGGAAGGATTGTAAAAATGCCTTTGAGACAGTTTCTTAGCTTTTTAATTGTTGTTTCTTTCTAGTGGTCTTTGTAAGTGTAGAAGCATTCCTTTGATAATGTTAAATTTGTAAGTTTCAGGTGACATGTGAAACCTTTTTTAAGATTTTTCTCAAAGTTTTGAAAAGCTATTAGCCAGGATCATGGTGTAATAAGACATAACGTTTTCCTTTTAAAAATTTAAGTGCGTGTGTAGAGTTAAGAAGCTGTTGTACATTTATGATTTAATAAAATAATTCTAAAGGAAATATTGTGTAATTTTAGATTTTTTTTTTAATATTGTAAAATAAGGCAAGGAGTGGGTAGTATAAGGTCCCACAAATAATATAAAGCTATTGTTGTACATGTAAAATTAAATGCTGGTCAGAAAAAAGTATGTTGTTTGTAAATGATCAGGTTTAAAATATCTAGATAACTTAAGGGATATCTCTGCAAGGAGAAACACCTTTTTAGATCTTTTAGATGCTGCTTCTTCAATGGCAAGGAAAGGAAATATCCCCAGCGAGGTACTCTTCCAGGGACACAGGTCTAGTACAAGAGAACTCTTGAAAACGTCACTAAGTTCAGCCAGTCTTAAAAAGCTGCGCTGTATTTCTGCAAAGCTTTAACTACAGTAGTTTATAAGGATGCCAACGAAGGCTGAGGGTGTAGAGCAAAATAGTTCTAAGCTTCAGTTAAACTTCTTTAGGTAAGATCTTATTTACTTTTCCTTTCTTAATGTTCCAAAAATAAGAAACTAATATTGTATGACAGTATTCTTTCAGTATAGTGATTATCGTTATGTAGTTTAACATAGCAATGAATTGAGTTAACAATTACAAATTGAAAAAGAAATTTGTGAATCCTGTTTTCTTGTATTATTAAATTTTTTACAAACAAATTTTTTGTTAATTTCAGCTACTTAACATATTTTTTTCCTACTGGAATCTAGCTATGATATGAACCCTGGACAAGCATAGACTGCTGCCACTGTACACTGCTACAGTTGAACAAATGAGACCTGCAAGTGTCCATTAGTAAAGCTTTGCAAGGGTTCCATCTCTGGTGTTGGTAGTTAAAATGGTAGGTCACAAGTTAATTAAATCATACAACTTTATTTTTGCATCCTGCAACATTTTATTTTTTCTTGGGAGTCTATGCATTATGGTGGTTGCAAGGTAATGCGATGAAGGTAGTTCTGTGCTGTTGAAAATGAACTCTGTTGTTATGTGTCTTGTCTACTGTAATCTATTTTATATAACGCGTTTCATCCTGAAGGTTCCCAAGTAACTGTAGACTGTTTACGTGTAAGGAAAAAAAATTGCACCACAGAATACATCTGCCTCTGTGAAGGAATGTGTCGTCCATTCTTTTAACGACTGCATAAGCAGTTCTTTAGGAGGGGAAGTGAAAACTTCACATGAAACTGCAGGTGGTATTTCAGAAGTGTACAATGTAATTACGTAAATTGAAATTTGGCTAGAAATGTTGAGGTTTCCACCATTTTTTATAGTTCTTGCAGCTAGTAAACCTTAGTGCCAAATGCAGTCAGCCTTACTCTCACTGCATTGAATGTTTGCACCTCAAATTAATGAAAATTCATCAAGTAATGAGTTATTAAGAGTAAGGGTGGCATGCTCTACTAGATTTGGTTTTAAAATAAAAATCAACAAAACCCACCAAAAAAAAAATCAAACCACAAAACCAAAAAAATGCCCTAATTTCAAAGTTCCATTGCCTTTAAAAGGCTACCCACTGAAGAACGTGGACTCAGCTATCAAAAGTCCTGTTCCTTTTGTGTTAGACACACCAGTGAACTGCTTATACTTTTTTTTTAATTAAAAATGGCTGAAGTTCCCCTATTGGTAATTTGGTTTAGACATATGTGATAAACATCTTCAGATACACTTTTTTTTTCTTTGGCAGGAAGGTGCCATGCTGCAGGTAACTAATGAAGAAGTGGTCAACCACAGAAACGCTTCAAGAAATAAGAAATTCTGTATCATCAGAAAATAGTTGTTTTTGCTGCCTTCATTAAAAATCTAGAGGTTAAATGAATACTGATAAAACATCACAATTAGTACAGCTCCCTGTAATGCTGGGTTTTTTTAAATTATAGTAATAATGTCTTGTAAACCTTTCGAATAAAACTCAGATTCGTTAGGACAAACAAATCACTAATGTTAAAATAGCAAACATTCTGTGAGTAGAAAGTTTAACTACATATTTTTATAACTTTCATAGCTTTAAAATAAAGTATTTTTTATACCAAAGTAGTTCTAGTGTAATGCTTAATAAAACTTAGTGTGTGTCTAACATTAAATAATGTTTATGTGCAGCTTTTAGACCCTTTCATGATTTGAAACGTCCCATTTTGAGGTGGATTTAAAACAAAGTCAACTTGGCAAATGTATTCACAGAACTTGTGTCTCTGACCGTAGGCATCTGTTCTCTGTTGGGAGAAACAGTGCTACAAATTTAAAATGCTGTTCTCTTTGCTGTTGGACACAATTGCTTTAAAATAGCTTTTTGCTGTGTTTTATATCACTTTATAAAATATCTCCTCCTTTCCTGTTAATGCAACTAACCACTTAAGACAGCTTGTCAAAATGCGATAGGACAATAGCTTTATCCTTTTCACCATTAAGAGCTTTTAGCATCGAGAGAGACTGAATGGAATGCAGAGTTCCTGCTGTACCAGAACTGTGTTACCGATAGATGCATCTTCTGGGGGGGGAACCAAAACCACCAAAAAAACCCAAAACTCAAACCAAACTCAAGCGTGAGCTTGGGAAAGCTTCAGTTGGGAATGCTTTTGAGGGGAAGGGATCTTCAGTCTGTACTGTTTTAACCTGTTGCCTACCCTACACGGTTTATTCTGAACTTGACATTTATATGCTTTGCGTTGGCAGAATCATCATGTCTTTAACCTTCTTTATATAACTCAAAACTATTATTTAAGGATTCACATATGATGATTTTTTTTCTCGTGTTTCTGAACTTGAACTTTGAAATATTTGCATAGGTAACCAGTGGGCTGCAATGGAAGCAGAAAAAGATGACGCACAAAATCTACTTTACTTTCTTCTTTCCAGCAGAATGAGTCGACCAGTTGATAAGGAATTGTCCTTCTTTCCTGGAACTTAGGTTTAGTTAATGAAAGTTTTTTCTTTACAGTTGCCAAGTCTACATTCCTATGACGTAGAAAAAACCCAGCACTTCAAATGGGAGTAATTTTTCTCTCTGTTTGAGATGTTTACACTCTTCCAGTAGTTTTGCAATAGGGTCTAAAATTAAGTATGTTATATTTTTCATAATGAGGATGTTTTAGTTTTGATCTACTGGTAAGGGGGGAAGGGAGTGTATAGGGGACAGCAGTATGCGAAAAAATGAACTACTGGATATTTAAAATCTTAAAAGCGTGGGGTATTTGAATAAGTTTCCTGTTGTCTTACTGTTGAACTTTCATGACTTTCCTTTCTTGGTATGTTTCTAAGAATTAAAGCAAGTGTTAATCACAGTACGTACTGATGAATTCAATGAGAGAATGACTTTGAGTCGACCTGATAATGAAAGCTAGCAGCTTTGAATAAAAACAACAGTGTGTGGTCAATTGCTGGTCCATAATTTGCAGATGATGTATACTTTTCCTCTCTTAATTTCTAAGAAGTTGGTTTTATGTCGCTCTACAGACTTCTCTGTTTCCAAAGTGAGAGTAACGTTGCTGATGAGTATGTTTCGGTGTACTAAGAACTGAGGATCAGGCTGTCAGTACCGGGCCCAGCCTCTCCCCAGCAAATACTTTGTGCAGCAAACCGAGGGGAGGATGTGAAAAACAACATAACTTGTTGGTAACCAGTATGGGTGCAAAAAAAACCCCCAAAAACTACAGCGTATGACTTGCATTTATGAAGTGGTGGTGAAGAAAGGTCAATAACTCAGGTTCTGACTACTCCGACTGTATGTCCTCTGTAGTATTTATAATGAAAGTGAAATTTTTTTCAATTACTGCTATTACTTGTGCGTCAGGTGCTGGGGTTCTGACTGCTCCGACTGTATGTCCTCCGTATTATTTATAATGAAAATGAAATTTTTTTCAATTACTGCTATTACTTGTGCGTCAGGTGCTGAAAAATGTTTAGGAAAATGTGAGAAATTTCACTTAATACTGTAAAATTATCAGGGAATATTATGCAGGGAAGATGATGGCGTTCTTTCAGTTTTATGATGGACACACTGTGTTGGGGATGAGGTTACACTACTTGTGTGGAAGAAGCAGACCCCAAAACCCACAGATGGGAATTTTGAAGGAGCTGCCAGGTTGGTTTGTTTCCCGAGGGGAGGATGTGAAAAACAACATAACTTGTTGGTAACCAGTATGGGTGCAAAAAAAACCCCCAAAAACTACAGCGTATGACTTGCATTTATGAAGTGGTGGTGAAGAAAGGTCAATAACTCAGGTTCTGACTACTCCGACTGTATGTCCTCTGTAGTATTTATAATGAAAGTGAAATTTTTTTCAATTACTGCTATTACTTGTGCGTCAGGTGCTGAAGAACGTTGAGGAAAATGTGAGAAATTTCACTTAATACTGTAAAATTATCAGGAATTGAACTTTGTCATATGCAGGGAAGATGATGGCGTTCTTTCAGTTTTATGATGGACACACTGTGTTGGGGATGAGGTTACACTACTTGTGTGGAAGAAGCAGACCCCAAAACCCACAGATGGGAATTTTGAAGGAGCTGCCAGGTTGGTTTGTTTCGGCAGCTTGACCACGGTTGTGAAAGAGCGTGATTTGCTGAGAACAGACCCAAACGGTCCACTGTGTTTTCAAGCAGGGCACGTGATGTGAGTGAAGTCTTGTGGTGGGTGGTGCTGTTGCCTTTGTTCCCTCCTGAGGGAGATGCCGGGTTCTCCTCTGCTTCGTACAGTGGGACACAGGAGGGTGTTCCTGGGTAGCGATGATTAGTTTTGCCAGAAGCTGCGCTGTCCCTTTTGATGCTTGTGTTCTTGCTTTGCAGCGAGTGTAGGTTCTGACTACTCCGACTGTATGTCCTCTGTAGTATTTATAATGAAAGTGAAATTTTTTTCAATTACTGCTATTACTTGTGCGTCAGGTGCTGAAGAACGTTGAGGAAAATGTGAGAAATTTCACTTAATACTGTAAAATTATCAGGAATTGAACTTTGTCATATGCAGGGAAGATGATGGCGTTCTTTCAGTTTTATGATGGACACACTGTGTTGGGGATGAGGTTACACTACTTGTGTGGAAGAAGCAGACCCCAAAACCCACAGATGGGAATTTTGAAGGAGCTGCCAGGTTGGTTTGTTTCGGCAGCTTGACCACGGTTGTGAAAGAGCGTGATTTGCTGAGAACAGACCCAAACGGTCCACTGTGTTTTCAAGCAGGGCACGTGATGTGAGTGAAGTCTTGTGGTGGGTGGTGCTGTTGCCTTTGTTCCCTCCTGAGGGAGATGCCGGGTTCTCCTCTGCTTCGTACAGTGGGACACAGGAGGGTGTTCCTGGGTAGCGATGATTAGTTTTGCCAGAAGCTGCGCTGTCCCTTTTGATGCTTGTGTTCTTGCTTTGCAGCGAGTGTTGATTTGTAGCAGAGTAGCAATTAAATAAATCCCCCGTGGATACCGGTTAGAACAGATGTGCTTTGCACAGCAACGCTTCACCAATGGCAAGAAATATCAGGGCCTCACTAATGAAAGTTTCTGTTAGGAATTTACTCCAGCAATTTGAGGCTGTGGCAAAACTGATAAATAAAAGATACAGACACGTATTAAAGAAATCTTTTAATATAAAATGCAGAGCAAATTGTTTGAAATGGCTGATTTCAATATCAGTAATTCAGTGCACTTTGCACTCTGAGGCAGTGCTTCCTTTTCAGAAAATACCAGTTGATGCTACCAGTTACTGTAAACACAAGTGTAAACAACAGCACGATTTAATTTATTTCTTCAAAAGGTATCATTTGGCATTTAAACTTGTATTGTGCGTACGTGTAGTTTTTGTGTGTTTGGTGCAAGAGCTTTTTTCAATATACCTGATGGTAACGTTGCTACATTTTCATCACGCAATGAACAATGAGGTTTTTTGTTTTTTTTTTTATACCACTCTTACAGGGTTTGTTTATAAAAGATATAAAAAATATTTGTTGCTATCTTATTGTTAATACTGGTAATGATTTTAGTACATTACAAACTACTCTGCCTCTTAACATTCCTTCCTTATCATTACACCCTTGTTTCTCTTTTAGGCCTTTTTCTGCAGACCTTTTTTTAGGTTATTAAATAGAAAAGGATAAGCTGTTGGGAATGAGCATGAAAGTGAACTGAATGTCTTCTTTTTAATAGCACAAATAAATAAATAAAATTGAAAACTCTTTTCTTCATTCAAAGCCACTATTGGAGTGTAACCTCATTATCCCAAGAACAGATAAACAGGGATTCAGTGCAATTTAATTTGCTTTAAAGACTTAGGGAAAATTAAGAAAAAAAAATGCATAAAGTTGAAGATACTTATTTTAAAAGCTGAAAAGAAAATGTTTCGTGCTTCTCCTTGAGGAAGGTATCCACATGGGAGGGAAAAAAGAAGGCACAAAAGTAAATAAAACACAGACTAGGAAATGATAGGAACTCATTCACCATCACGGAAGAAACTTGAGACTGATTCAATTGCAGAGGATGAAGGTAAGACAATATTGACCATATGAGTTGTAAAGGTAACTGGTGCGTTATGTTTGCTTGGAGCTGTGATGGTGAAAGCAGTGGGAAAAAAGCAATAGCTTCCAGGGCCTCTCTCCTCAAAGGAAAACTCAGAGAAGCAGAACACTCCTGAACAAATGCAAAGCATGGTGTACCTGTTAAGAATATGTAACTCCACAGTGATTTAAGGTGAAGATGAATTTGAGCTAGTTTTTCTTTCAGTGCTAAAAAAGAGTAATAAAATGTCACTTTGTATATGAAGAATCTAGTACTAGGGACTGAACCACATTTTTCTTCCATCTGTAACTTTGAGCTAAAGCTTGGGTTTTTTTCCCCTATTGATGTGTCATTTCCCTTCCTCTCCCTCCCCATCACTAGAAACAAAATTCCTACTTTTACATAGACCTATAAATGCAGTATTTGGAATTGTGCTTGTACTGATGGCCTAGCTCCTTTGGTTCTTATTAAAACTAAACATATTTCCTCATTTGCTTCTCAGATGGCAGACCTTCTAACAGATCACAATCTGCTTGGTTTGTCAGACCCTTGGATGTGCAGTCTTCCTCAAATGTAGTCTTTTCTGCTTGTGCTACTGTAGTCACTGACCTCCAGTTTTCACACAAATATCCTTATTGTTCCTTCAGGAAAAATAAAGCCTATGTGATCCTCAGCCATCTGATTTTTGTTTCTGCTCTTTTTCATTATCTTGTTTCTGTTCTGATTTGACTAAGTGTTTGGGTATGATCAAAACACTGCCATCACTACTGCAATGGATGACATACTGGCATGGGTTAACGGGTCTACCCTGGTCATCCCTCAATCTACTAAAAATGTCACGGTACAAGTTGTTTAACTTCTGCTTCAACCGGCTGATGGATCTGCTACACTGAGAGTGCTCCTTTTTAAGGCTCTCCTTTTGTGTTTGAAGATTACACACGTCTTCTTCCAAGTTAAGAATTGCATTTAGTTTGCGTTTACGACAATTCTGGGCAGCAACTTTGTTTTTCCCTCTTCGCCTGATGTCACGTAGAAGGGATACTTGAGCATCTGTGAGCTGGTTCTTTGCTAGCATAGCGTTGAAGGACTCGACAGGCATGCTCACAATTTCATCAACCGAAAATGGTATTCTCAGAGCTTCTGCACAATGGTCATTGCTACTAAGGTTTGTATCAGTAGAATTGTGGCAACTCTCCTTTACTTCGCTTGGTTTCTCCATCCACATCTGTTGATGATGCTCCGGGGTGGATGCTGCTTGACTTGGCAGCTGATTATACACGGGGTTATGGAGAAACTGCTGAAGTGTGGCTTCTCTAGAACACTCCGAATCACCTGGATTTTCCACATGGCCATATTTAGTGTGTTCTTGGAAATTGCCACCAACAGCTCCTAAGCCATGCGGAGAAACAGATTTAACATCACTGCTGTACCCAAGAGCACCTTCACTGCAGACTGAGAAAAAGGCGGTGCTGTGACCTGAATTCCAATACAGTCCCGAATCTGAGCCAGGTTCTTGAAAGAACTGAGAAACTTCTATAGGATCAAAACCTTCCTCCAAAGCCAAAGATATGAGTTTAATTTCATCAAAATTATCATCATGGGCTGTTAGGTTCCTAATATCAGCAGCTGAAAACGGCACTGTCAAATCTGAGCCGTGAAGTAGTGATCCTGGGTTTGTGATATTAGAGCTTGACTGAGGAAAAGACTCTTGCCTTTGTAAATGTCTTGTTTCTGAATTCGATTGAGTGGGGTCGTCTGTTCCTAGTAGCTTGGCATCATGAGGACTGAAACAGTGGCAAAGTGTCTGGGCCAAATTTATATGGCAGTGCGAAGGTGATGGGTCTTGGCCTCTACTAGAAGTAGCGACTTGTGTATCTTCCAGTAAACTCACCTAAAAGACAATGGGGGGGGGAGAAATGGGATCTTTTATAAAATGAATGCCTCTACATTCCACACATTCACAGAATTCCAGAATGATACGGGATTGGAAGGGACCTCAGGGGATCATCTAGTCCAACCCCCCTGCGAGAGCAGGTCCACCTAGAGCAGGTTGCACAGGAACGTGTCCAGGCGAGTTTTGAGTGTCTCCAGAGGTGGAGACTCCACCATCTCTCTGGGCAGGGAAGGAATGATGTACCATAAAGACCAGAACAACTTAAATTCCCTACTACGCTTACTGGGAGCTTGGATAACAGAAGAAAGCTTTGCCTTATTTCTCCTAGGGAGATACCATGTACTAGACCACCTGTAGTCTGTGGGACAGAGCTGGTATTTTCAATTAAGCTCTTGGGAAGCAATATTCTTAGCAAGTTAACTATTAAAAAGTCCCCCACACTGTGAAGACTTGGTACCTGGAAAAAACAAGCAATCCATTTTCAACTGATAGATTGTCACAAGATGGCACATTCTTAACAAGTTAACTATTAAAAAGTCCCCCACGCTGTGTAGACTTGGTACCTGGAAAAAAACAAGCAATCCGTTTTCAACTGATAGATTGTCACAAGATGGCAGTGCATTAATAGTCTTAAATGAAATACGCAACCATGTATTGCTATAGCTAAGTAAAGGCTACAGCTTCCTTTCAAAATTATTCCTTTCAAATTATGAAAAAAAAGCAGAGAACGCTAAACTGATGAACTCTGAAACTTGTTAGTGTGGAATCTGTTATCAAAGCTGAACAGAGGAGTAGGCTAATTTATGGGTTGGGAGCCTCTATCCAATCTAGAGATTCCCAAAACTAGGTGTTCCAGTGGTAAACGTGAAATTCCATAGAAAACACTAAAGACCCTGGAAGACTCTTACAACGGGAAGTATATCTAAGATACCCTTGGAATATTGCAAAAAAAGGAATGTAGGGAGTAGCTTCAGGGTTAGTGATTGCAGCTGTGAGCTGTGGGAGAGGAGGGAGACTCCAATTAAGGTAACAACTGGTTTTTGTGTGAAGCACAAAGCACAAAGTTTTTGGTGTGAGCACCCAGAGAGCAAACAATAGTATCAGAAGCCCAGAAAACAAGAAAAGAAAACAAAAAGGGTTTGCTGCTAATGCTGACTGACCTGATTTGCAGGGAAGATGGGTCTGTTCTTCTTGAGGGTCCTTGTGAGCACTTGATCCAATATTTATGACAACTATAATGTTTCACTACAAATGCCTAATAGCTGCCAGTGATTAATAACTCGGTGTTGCTCTAGAGAAACACACCAAGAGCTGCTGTATAAATATGGGATTAAGTTTCAGAAAGGGAATTATTAATTGAACTTATTAAGTTCCATACAACTTTGAACACCAGGTCACAGGAAAGACTGGACTTTGTACATTTCATATCCCAGGCAAGTAACTGGGAAGATTTTTCAAGTAGTGCCAATGACAGCTGCTGTAAAAGGTGGATAGTAGCATCTTTAATGTCTTCAGGTAAGTTTTACTGCATTGATTTGCTGATATATTCCTTTGGGGTTTTTTTATTAGAAAAAACAGGGTAAGTTAAATGTATTAATCCCAATGTATTAGCAATACATGTGTTTTCTCATTTACCTCTAGCATGTTTTCCATCTGCGACGACAGAAGCTGTAAACAGCCCTCTAAGGAGAGAAGGGCATCTACATGGCTGCGGTTGCTCTGTGACAGAAGAAACAGAGATACTTTGTAAAGCACAGTTATTTTACATAAAAGGAGGTAGAAATCAAAGGTAAAAATAAATTAAAAAAAAAAAAAAAAGAGGAAATAGAGCACAGCTCTGTGAAATACTGCTGCTGACCCCACCAAGTCTTCATCCTGATGGGAGACATCCCGTTGCTCGAACGAGCAGAACAGCCCCACAGCAGGAGCATCCCTACTCTGCCCCACAACAGCAGAACTGGGCTTCCCTCCTCTCCGAGGCTGCACCTACACTGCAGGAAAATCAAGTACTTTTTTCAAAGCCCAGCTGCCAGGGCTGGCAAGAAACCCAGATCTGATGTTCTCAGCTCTCTTAAGTTCTCAAGAACAATGGATGCCCTTTTCATTGTAGCTCTCGGAGAGAACAAAACCCAAAGTGCGCCCATCTCAGTTTAACATCAATAAGATTATTTCTCTGCCTCCTAGTTACAGTGCACACATTCAGATTTGAATGATCCCTTTTCCCAAATTGTAATTCTACATCTGAGCAGCAATCTTTACACAAACGGTGAAAGCAATATGATTTAGCATCCACGTCTCAAGTGGTTGTAGGCCAGAAAAGAAACCCTCGCACACAAACACAATACTGTCACCATGGAGAAAATAAATAAAAAAAGAAAACAAATTGAAAAACAGTTAGTTGCAAGTCATTTCTGTAAACTTTAGAACATTTCAACTACATAAACTATACGGGAGGGGGAAGTGTTTGTCATGTATAAGGGAATAATTTACAAAGTACTATCTGAACTCAGTGTTCCTTTCCTGCTTGGTGGCACCAACTACCAGCGTTCCCCTGCAGAATTTCTGGGGTGCAGAGGAGCAGGAGCTGGGGGTCAGGAAGGGGATTGGGGAGATGTTTTTCATCAGCTATAAGCATATTCTCTATGGGTACTTCTAGGAGCTTAGTGAAGAGGAAAGCAATTATACGAATACGTTCTTCTGAACAAAGATACATATATACACATATACGCATCACACATTGCAGCACATCAAAATTATTCTCTTCATCCTTCCCCTAGCAGACTATAGTGCTACTGCAGCTCTGCTGTATATATCCATATATATATAATCCATATAATGTACAGTAAAACATCACGATTTGCTATAGGGGTCAGATATACAGCACTGAATCTTGATTAATACCACAATCCACAGTTGTTTATGACCCATTCAGTTTAGAAGTCATAGAAACAAGTGAATATAAAACACTACTCTGATTTTTACTACACAAATTCTTGTTTATGATGTCTGTAATTAGATTAAATAAACAATAAATTATGATTTGGTTTATGTGATTCTGGATAGATGAGAGGTTTTTAAGTACTTTCTCCCTTTCTCTCTCTCAAAAGTTTTGAAGGTGGAACAGAAAAGTAAAACTGAAATAACTCAGAGCTACCTTGCAAAGGACAAGCCCAAATGAAAAGAAATTAAATATTCCTTTCAGAGCCACTTACTCCATTTCTTTCACTACTCTCTATCTCAGTGATCAGACCTATGTTCTCCCTCACTTCCTTTTCACAGTTTTCCCTTCTTCCCATTTTTTTATCATTTACTTGATTTATGTTTTCTTCCTCCTCCTCCTCTTGCAGTTCCAGCTGATCATCTCCTTGGTCTGGACAACAGTCATCCAAAGCTTCCTGGCATGCTTTCAGGTCAACATCCTAAAGACACAAATAAACCAGTGCTATTAACATCCTTACTTCAAGTAACAAGCGATGGGATGAGAAGAAACAGCCTTAAGTCGTGCCAGGGGAGGTTGGACATCAGGAAAAATTTCTTCACTGAAAGGGTTGTCAAGCCTTGGAACAGGCTGCCCAGGGAAGTGGTTGAGTCACCATCCCTGGAGGTATTCAAAAGACAGGTAGATGTGGCACTTAGGGACATGGTTTAGTGGACTTGGCAGTCTATGTTGTCAAAATTAATCTTTAAAACGCACCTTTTTTTTTTTTTTTTTTCCTTACAGCTATAGCATTTCAAATAAAACATGCACTGAAAAGTTCATTCCTGTGGCTGAATTGACTCTGTGCAGAGTTTGGGGACAGAAAGAGATGGATGTCAGTTCAGGAGTGCCGACACCTCCTCTTTCGGTGCCCAGGCACTGAACCCATCTGTGGAAGAAATGGATGTTCATACACATGGGAAACAGAATTCTTCTGATGATGTGATGTCATGGGAAGTTTGGGCTATCACTGTCTTTTGGATGTCACTTCACAACCACCAAGTTTGCATCCAAGCCAGATACATACTCAGTGATGGAATCTTAAAATAATTGTGCAATTGTGCAGGGCCAGCTAGCAGAATCCCTCACTTCTTCTTTGAGGAAAACAATCACATTAACATGTATTGTAATAGCAGCTCTGTCTCCTCATCACTTCTGTGTAGCCAATTATAGGATTTTTTTTAATCTCCAGCAATGAAATTGTGCTTAGTCATCTCAGAAGCATTTTTCAAGTTATCTTTTATCTATAGCCAGACTTCTATCAGCAGACTTTTAAAATTTTTTATTACAAGGCTGGGGCATTGCTACGGTAAGAAGGAATCACTGCTGAGGACTTTGTATATTTATAATTTTCAAAACTTTGGTATTTCAGCTTCCATAGGGTGAGTCTGTGTTATTAAAATGTGAAACTCAGTGGAATGGCAGCCAGAAAACCAAGTGGCCACACTGCATCAGTTCCATACATCCCCAGCAAAATGCTATGGCACGAGCAGAAAAGACAAACTCTCAACAGCAGCAACCATAACAAGTTAGTGTTCTGTTCTAAAAATCACAACAAATTCACTTTATAGGTTTTATACAAATGATAAACTATATAAAAACTGCAGTTGTAACAAATGTTGTACTGTTACAACTGCAGTTGTAACAAAATGTGTATTAGGTTGTTTTTTTAATTATTGCTTCATACAAAACACATTAAAAATTAAATGTAAGGAGATTTAAAAATAGGACTCTGGAGTAAAATATAATTTGAAAATAAAGTGATATAAATTTCATTTTCATTAATTCTATTAACATTTCTTTTTAAAATTATGAAAATAAATTTTATTTTTAACTGATTTTTTTAGTTGGCTTCCCATTTTTCTGTATTTTCTTTTCAAGGATTGGAAGGGAACTTTAACTTTATAAACAGTCATTTGTAACAACAAATAAAAATACAGGGCACTCATCTGTCACTCTGATGTAAGAGGTACTTTCCTTCAATGATGCCCAACACAATTTCTAGCTATTAAAAATTATATTCCAATATAGTATATCTTGTCATCTGCAGTTGGAAATGACCAGATGACTTGTTATTGCCAAATATGAGAAAATAAATTTACTTTTCTAAACACACACACACAAAACCACTACTATTTTCCTCTATGTAGTAAAAGAGCAGGAGGGGGAATTTAGTGTTCAGGACCCTGAGTAGATGGTAACGAGCTACTCGCAAACGAGTTCAATGGAGCTACTCACAGGCACGAAGTCAGCCCCATAATTAGACATTCCCAAGGTCAGCACTCGTCTTGAATTTTACAAAGAGCCAACCTAATACTTGTCCAATAAATACGAGCCATTAACATCCTCATTAATACAATTAATCATAATGGAAAACAGATAAGAAGTCAAGGACAATCACTATTAAAGACTCCTTTTGAGCTGCATGGCCTGGAAAGCTGCTGCTGCTGAGGCAGAGTACTCAGCTCCTGAATAACACAGCAAATTCATTACCCTACCAGCTGAAGAAGAGTTAAACAGTTAGAAATAGAGGAAACAGTTAGAAATATGGTATCTATAATGTAATGCCTCCAAAAAAACCCCACTTGTAAGCACTGCATTCGAATACAGAAAGTATATGGGTAAGAACCTAATGGTTCCTATGAAAATGACAAGGGCCACAGACCTATCCTACCACCAGGGGAAAGCAAAGCTTGCGAGAACTTTGGGAAGAGCCCACGCTGAGCCCTGCAGAGCGTCTGAAACCCGCACAGTTCAACTTGCTTGTGGTGGAAACCTGCCTGCAGACACCGCCAGCCTGCTGAGATCTACGATGGAGATGGTTCTTCCCACCACCATCATGAGGACAACTGAATTTCTGATGTGCCTGGTAGGATGGCTCCTTTCTGAAGAGGAACTAAGTGCTCCTGAAGCTCATAGAGATCTGTGAAGACTGTCATGGCTTCAGTTTCCCCAGGAAGTCAAAGACAACTGAACTTTTAGGTCTTTTCCTATCGATATATAGAGCTGTTGACCACTTAGTAGATGGGGAATACTTCCGACCATGAATTTTAGGATTTATTTTAGGAGTTGGGCAGCAAAAAGTTCGGCACCCATGGTTCCAACAGCGGATGCTGGCATTCAAACAGGTGCCCAATATATTGTCTGCATTTAAGGAATTAAGTGGTGCTCCCATTACAAATTCTTAAAAATAAACAAGATTGCAACCTGTTTTCTCAGCAAACTGTAAAGAGGAAGACTAGGTGGTGCACAAACACCGCTGCATCTGGAAAAAAGCACCATAAGAAATAAACAGCCCAAAGAAAAGACAAGGTTCACTCTTATGTTTTTTATCTATTTCCTTAGCAAACGTGCTCGCTGGGGCCTAAAAACTTGGTGTGGGGTATTCTGCAAATGGTAGGACCTTTCATTACTCTAGGAATTGCTCTGTTTCCTTACATGAACTGATGCATGTTTTCCTGGCTATTCAAAGGAAAAGTTTATTGGGGGTTTTCCCTCTCCCCCTGCCCAAAGATGTAACTCATGGTGCCCGTGCAGGAACCCTGGTACCTTAGTCTCAACCTCTAACATCCATGAGAACCAAATCTCCAAGCTTTGATTCTGTAGCTGACCCAGACCAGAACAGCACAGGAGCATTAAACTAATAGTTTGCTGGGAACATCCTGAACACAAAGGTTCAGGCTGACCTCAGTCTGCTGGGCAGCAAGCTAATTACAGGAACCCACCTGTTTGCTTTACTCCTGGTCAAACACAAAGTCCTCAGCCTGTCCTAACACCACACTACATATCATCCTGGTGTAGAACAGAAAAAAAAAAAAAAAAAATAGGCTGGGCAACCCCACACGGTTTGGCACGCTCTGAATTCATCTGCTTTCCCCGTCTGCAATTGTCTCCCAGAGCAGTTTTAAATACCAGAGCAGTTTTAAATACCAAGGACGAGGATGAACATCTCGCATTGTGTGGCCAGCAGCGCTCTCAGCGAGGACTGCAGCCCAACAAATCCCATTAATCCCGGGGTGGGTGAGCTTTTGAGAACTGCTAACTTTTGAGAACGCCACGCAACCCCCCAGTGCCCAGCAGGAGAAAGCAAACCACTTTCATCTGTTTACACAGGCTCCTTGTCCTGATCCAGCGTGGATAAGAGGAATGCTAAAAATAGCTCCGGTCTATTTTTACAAAAGGCAAAACGAAGGTTATAAATCAGCCGAACTACTTGGAAATCCATTATACTGTTACAATAACATTTTGACAGTACAAGTGGACTTCTTCAAACCCAGAGAGGTCACCTTTAAAACAAAGATCAACTTTTCCCTCTGTGTTTCATGTTTTGGACCTATCGTGCCCTTCAGAAGAAGTCTGGTGGAAGAGATGCTCTGTGTGTGTGCACTTAGAAGTCCACTTACATTTTTAGGTCAAGAACTTAATACTGCCTTATCTCGCTCCAATCATTCTTTCACTTAAAATGTGCTTAAGAGAGAGGCCCAGACCCACGTTTGGCAAAGAAATGAATCATCATCTCTCCACAGAAAGGAGTGATCCCTTACAGTTAGGGTGTAGAAACTAGTTTTGCAACTGCCTTACAAAAATAACCCAGCCAACACATGGGGAAATAGGAAAAAAAAAAAAAGAGGAAAAGGAAAGGAAGAATGAAAAGAACAGAAGAAAACCTAACAACCAAGACAAATTTAGTAATTATTAGTTGATACCAGTCCTTCAATTCATAATAAGAACCATCTATTGATAATGGTTCAAAGCCAGCCTGAAAAATGAACTCGGTAGTTCAACTTGGTATTTCAAAACGTACTGAACATCCGAGCCACTGAACCCTCACCCTGTTTTTTCTGTATCTCTTGTACCCACGCAGAGCTATCACCAAAGTCTCGGATCGTAAATGGCTCCAGAAAAACCAAACTCTATGCCCACTAGTGACTTAACTGAGGAAAGCAGTCCCTGTGGCTGCCAGCCCCGGCTAATCTCTGAGCTGCAGATGTGCATGGCCCCTGAGGAGGAGGAGGGTCTGAGCGGGACCGACGGGCAGTAAGGACTGTGTTCTGCATGGCCAGGGAGCAGGGAAACCAGCCATCGCTGATGGGCACCGACTGCCCCAGCACAGAAGATGCCACAGCAATAATAAAAGCAGAGATGATGAGGCTGGGGTTTAGCTCTGGCACCAAACAGGTCCCAAGACATCATAAATGTTCCTGCCAAGCGTAGTTACCAAACCACGACGTACACATGCCCTGCCCCACGGTGACGAGCCGTGGAGAAGCTGGATTTCTGCAGCCCCAGGACCTTCTTAAGCTCCCCGTGTGCCCATGCAAAGGAAACTGAGGCAATTCTGGAAGAAAACGCCACGCAGATGTGACAGTCCTGGCTCTGCAGCTGATGAGCGGCGCTGGGGCCACCCGTGGCCACCTCTGAAGGGTTTCCACCCCGTTCTGGTGCTTGGAGGGCCACTACCAGTTGAACCCTCAGCAAAAGGCTGCATGGCATTACTCCACAGCACCAACCACGAACCTGCCCCTGGCTTTGCCTTCCCTCCCCACTCCCCGAGACCCCCTCCGGGGGTGGGAGACCCCCGCGGGACGGGGACACACACCCCACACTGACCAGCCCCGCGACCACCCGCAAACCTCTGGGAGGTCTCACCTCTTCATTTTTGGAGGCTCAGATCAACTTGGCTGGGCGGTGGGGTGCGGTGGTGCCGGGGTTCCCGCAGCTTGCCCCCCACCTACACCCCCAGACCGCCCCCCCACACAC